GAGGGCAGTGTCACTGGCCCTCACATGTGGGATCCGAACCGGGGCCCTCTGGCATCCTGAGCCAGTTCCCAACCATCACACCACTCGGCCGGCCCAACATTCACCTTTTTAAAGTGAACAATTTAATGGTTTTAATCAGTTCACAGAGTTGTGCATCTATCACCACTATTTAATTTTAGAACATTTTCATCACACCAGAAGGAAGCCCCATATCTCTTGCTGGATTATATAGTCATGCTTTTCCTTTTTATTTATTTTTTATTTAAAAAAATTTTTTTAAATTTTCAATTACAGTTAATATTCAATATTACATTAGTTTCAGGTAGGTCATGTGGTCATTTTATGTGTAATTTTTTGAGGAACTAGGCTGCCGCACTGCACAATCCCACCAATCTAAGCACTCTGGAAGCCAGCGCCTTGTAGTTTTCCTTGCTTGTCTTTTTCATCCTTATCTCAGCTTTCCGTACACAAGTAAGAAATTTTTTTTAAAACTGATGCTGTTAAGATTGAAATGAAACATTACAGGGAAGTTTGAGGAGAGTCCTAGATGATGAGGAATGAGTAAGGTAACCAACTCAGAACATTTATTTTTTTTCTGTGTGGTTAAGGTTTTGCATTGTCTTTGCCTCTATCCGATCTAATTTAAGACAATTACAGTTACCAGATTGGGCGTTGGGTTATTCTTGGGTGCTTAAATTTGAGAGTGTTAATATGAGCTTCCTCCTGGCAAAAGGGGTGATTTCTTGAAGAGCCGGTGACGAGAGCATTGAATCTGAAAGTGCTGGTGAGCTCCGTCTTCCTGCCAAAGAACTGTACACATTCAAAGCCTGTGGTCCCTTGTTTCATGGCAAGAGGTAGGCCTGGGTTTTTCCCGGTATCAGTGGAAGGATGAAGCCAGGATTAAAGCCCAGGGGTTAAAACTACCTCCTCCCTCTCTGCATGCTCCTTTTCAAATTCCTCCAGACCTTCCTTAAACGTTAGCTATTCTGCAGGCTTCTTCCTAGCCCTACCTCTCTTCTTAGGTTATATCAGTATTTCTAAAACCATGTCTAATTATTTGGGAAGCTTTGGGCTAAACACAGTAAAACACGTTCCTTTGGCCAGGATCTCATGTCTCAGTTGTGGCTTGGCTAATAATGTTGAGGCTCTCCAAGAAGAAGGTATAGAATGCAGCTCTTCACTAAATTCACCTCGTCTCCTTTCTCCTCCAAACATATTCTACTTGCAGGATTCCCTACCTTGAAAAACAGCGTCATCAGGCCCAAAGTGTCCCAAACCACAAAGTTGGGATTCACCCTTGATTCTCCTTAAGCCCAGAATTCCTCCTAAACAGAAGGAATTATGGCTATTTCTTGATATGATGTTTATTTATTTAACAAATATTTACTGAGCACATTTTATATAGTATCTGGCTTGGGACACTTACAGTCTCATTGTAAGGACAGAACCTACACAGATGAGA